CTCCAAGAGCTCCACATCCTTCCTGTGCTGGGGGCCCCAGGCCTGGACTCAGCACTGCAGATGGGGATTCACAAGAGCACTGAAGAAGAGGGGGACGATCACCTCCCTGTCCCTGCTGGCCGCCCCTTCAGTGTTCACAACTTCGTATGAAATACTGCAAGATCAATGAATCATAGAATCATGAAAACTCAGCTTCCCATTACACACAGAGTCAGTATGGATGTACAGCTCTGGCTCTCAATCCATGAGCTCCCATGAAGCAGATCTGCTTACATAACAAGCCCAGACAAAATCTCTTTCATGCACACCTCAGTTCAGTCCAGTAGTGTTCACAGCTTTCACCACTTCACTATTTGCCAAGTGGTTTATCTCCATTAACACAAGGGATAAAACATCACCTGGCATGTCCGAATGCAAAGAGCTGCTGCCCATCTCACAGCATCGAATCTAATTTTATGGCAGTTGTATCAGCTCAAAAGACATTTCCCTGCTTTCCCCAATTCAAAGGCAACTCGTTATCTATCAAAAACTAATAGCTTGAGCTATCCAAGAACATCTGCTGGCACTTTCATTACCCTCCAACAAAGCAGAGAAGGCAGTTCATGCTGTCTCACCACACAGCAGAAGCATTTTACCCAACCACTTTCCTCCTTGATTGGTTTGCCAGCATCTGTTCACTGAGCAGATACAGAAGCACTCCTCAGACTCCCCAACATTCTGACTGATGCCTTCATTCCTTCAGCCTAAACACCCAATCTGGATCATGAGAAGTCTGGGAAGGTATAAAGGAAGACCTGTAGGTCCAAAATCATAATTCTTTTTTTTTTTTCTAAGAGGAAAAACGTTGCAAAAGTCATTTGCTGCAAGGTCAGAAATGTTTCCAAACCTCAGCCACCAACTTCAGCTCTTGGTTTTTGCATATGGACTACCAATATCCCTACACAAAGACTTCCTGATGCCTAAGAGCAGATCTTACTGTCACAAAGGTGCAAGGGTTGGATGCAGCCAAGGCATTACTCACCTGTTTTACGTTGTATCCTGCTTTTGCACTAGTTTCAATGAACATTACATTCAGCTCTTTGGCTTTTCTTTCTCCTTCCTCAATGGACACTTGCCTGGGGAAGAGAATACACAATTAAAAAAATAAAAACCAAACAGATGGACACCTTGAAAATTAACACTATTGCCTTTAACTCCAGGAAATGACTCCTACATTACAGTCTCAAGGCATTCAGTGCTCTTCCCTGCATACAGCTAACATAGACTGAGCACAGCTGAACAGCACGATCACCACAACAGCACACCTGGCTCCAAAGCAAAGCAGCTGAATGGACCGAAAAGACTCCTACAAGTCCCTGTCCTGGAAGCTGTGTTTTTATGCTTCAAGAAGTAGCAACTGAAAGGTTTTAATACCCAGTAACAATCATCAGCTGGCAGACTACAGCAGGACCACATGTAACCATCCCATACCAAAAGGCTTCTGCTGTTCACCCCCATCCAGGCATCCCACTCACTAAGCAGCCTGCTGCAGCTGAAACTGGAGAGGACTTGGGATCAAGAGCTTCTAGATAAAAATCACGAAGCATCTCATGTGAGAGACAGAACAATTCCTAGTGGGATGTCATAAATCTGAAGTAAGGGGCACGAGTGAAGCTATTCTGAGAAAACAGGGATTTCCATCAGATACAGAACACCTCCATGTTGTGCTATTGCATTGCATTTCTATGACTGAAGCTGCACACCTTCCAATAAAAAGAAGTTTGCCAACTTATGCAAACACCTTGTAGTGTTCTAAAGGGGAGGATGACTTGCACCCATCATTTCTATCCCAGCAATTGGATTGAGTGTCTGTGCTGTAAACCCGGGTTTGCCCAAAAGAGAGAAGTATAAAAACCAAGACCTCTCCAGACACAGCCAGCATTTGAGAAGGAAATACGAATGTTCCTTTTCAAACAGCTGCCTTGGAGAAAGGAGCATCAGCCCAAGAAAAGCAGCTGAAGTTGAGCTGTTCCTCCGTACCTCTTATCTGCTAGATCTGTTTTATTTCCCACCAGCATAATGATGACATCGCTGCCCCGCTCCGTTCTGACATCGTCGATCCATTTTGTTGTTTGCTGGAACGAGTTGACATCTAACAGAAAACAGTGGAGAGGATTATCACTGCCGAGCTTCAGCACGCATCGCAGGTAACACAGCTGGAGGTCTCAAATAGAAGCTTCTTATTTCTGGAATCGGACTAACAGGGCGATGAAGAACCAGCAAGCGAAACCCCAAAGTGCCCCACACTCAAGTACATGAAAGCTACAGCCCTAACTTCACCTGGGCTGCTACTTCACTCCCTGCATTGGGATTCACCTCTACATACAGAGGTGGCAGCTTCTGGACAGCCTGGGCTGCTATGAAATGTGGAGGTTGGTGGTCCTGCCTGCAGCGGGGGGGGTCAGAGCTTCATGATCCTTGAGGTCCCTTCCAACCCAAACCATTCTGTGATTCTGTGATACAGAATTTGGTTTGGGCAGCGTCCAAAATGAGAAGACTGATGGCTCTTTTAGTCCTCATGTTGTTCAGTTGGACAAAAATTCAGCGTGGGGAATGGGGATCAATGTGACACTGCCCATCATTCTGCACTGCTCACCTACTGCAGGAGGGCCCCACGGCTTCTGCACTTCTCAGAAGAATTCTGAGCTCTGTGGTTCTGCACAGCTTCAGCACTTTTTATTTGCTGGGCTTAGGATTTTCCCCTCAGAACTAGCAGGGCTTTATAAATACCAGCAACTCCTTTATTGCTGCAGGGTGCCCAGCAGTCTCCTGATCTCCTGCATGGAACAAGCAATGCAAATCTCATACATCCACAGGTGTTTTTTCTTAACGTGCCGCTCTTAAAAGCCAAAACGTAAAGAATTTAGGAGCCTACCCTGACCTAATGAGCACGTGGATGAGAAGCTGCATCCCATTAGGAGAAAGGAGCTGCACAGAAGCTGCCCTGGTGCTCTGCATTTACCACAGTGAGCCGAGGAGCTGCCTCAGCCAGTTTTGGTACTCAGCAAATGGGGCTCTGCCGCAGTTCTCGACAGTCATTGATTTCTTTTTAATGGCTTCTGCTGCATAGTAATATATCGTGTGCCAGACAGACAAGGCTTGATCACTTGCCAGTGTCTTCATTTGTCTCTCTGCTATTCGGTAATATTGAATTTGCCAGGTCGGTAAAAGAATAATTCAAGGTTCACAGCTAACCTGTAATTTTAGCTCCAATGAAAGTGCTATTTGTAACAATTAAAGATTTCACAGGTAAATTCCTTATTCCTGCTGTAATCTCCTAGTATTTATAAAGCAAAGGACAAGCTCTTTAGAACTGGTATCGATTCAGGCTGTTGCTCTCAGTCAGTTCAGCCCCAGAACTGAGAAATGTGTGAAGGTTTTGTTCTTCCAAAGCAAAATTCTGCTGTTGGCAAACAGGGAATGCTGTGAATTTGGGCTTTCTGAAACGGGGGGGGAGGGACAGGAGGAGAAGAGTTGAGAAAAGCATTAACATTTTAGTTCACAAAAATGTACATACCTTAGTAGGAAATGAAAGAGCAATTGTTACAGGAGAAGGGCGCAGTGGTCAGTTGCATATATTGCACAGTGTGAAAGTGACTGATTGCAATGAAAATGTGATGTTAATGCAGTTCCCCCCCAGCCCACGCCCAAACCTTGGTGGTGGTGGGAGGGCAAATGGAGTGAAGCAAGCTACAGCTATCAGTGCAATGTCTAATTTGAGAATTCAGCTAACTATGAACATGATTCAGGTGTTTGAGACCAGAAGTTATCGGTGATACCGTGACCAAAAAGCAGATGGAGCAGGGCAAAGTGCAACAAGACCAGCCAGGACTCGAGACTTCAGGAAATGTGATAGGAAAGGGTTACAAAGTGAGGGAGTTGATCAGACAGTCGATACATTGCAACAGCAGTGATCAGGTGGCTAGCTTAAAACCGGACTAGGGTAAAAGAAAACAATTTTTCCATGCCAGAATGAAGAACAAGCACGTGATTGTGATAGGACATGCAAAGCTAGGCTAAAGGATGAAAGGGGCAGAGTATTAGAAATGCAGAATTCCCCCCACTCACTTGTGATATCATAAACAACAACTGCAACAGTGGAGTCACGAATGTAGCTAGGAATCAAGCTCCTGAACCGTTCTTGACCTGCTGTGTCCCATAATTGCAACCGTACCTAACAAAATCAGTCAAACAAGCAAGAAAAATAAGAAAAAAGGTCAAACCCAGTGCAATATACCTACTTGTGATATCGTAAACTACTACAGCAGCAGCAGAGTCACGGATGTAACTGGGAATGAGGCTACGGAAACGTTCCTGACCCGCAGTATCCCACAGCTGCAACCTGATCTGTGGGTGGGAGAAAATTAAAAAAGCCAAACTGCCACTAAAAATCAAAAGAGTCAAGAATTGTCACGTTTTGAAAAAGCTAAAGAAAAATATGAACTCATGCAGGAGGTGACTGGGGACTGGGAGCAGCAGCGAACTGTCCTCTCTTTATAGCAACCTCTCCCAAGCACCTGCGGTAGCCAAGCTGGTGTGTGTGCACCTATCTCAGCCCTTTCTGCTGTCTTTTCTTTGCAAAAATGCTTTCCTTCCTGAAGGGGAGAAATAGGAGCGTTCAGCTGGTGGAAGGATGCTGTGCTTGTAAGGGAAAAACCACCAGCTGCTGTCAAAGCATTGGAGAAGCTACTGGGGTGAATGTTTCAGGAAGGATAAAACGCTGGTTATCACTGCACCAGGTTTTACACGTTCAAGTACCATGCACACAGATGAGGTTTAATGTCTCTTACCATCAAGGCTCTGAAAGGAAAGGCAGGATGTACCGAAAGCAACATGTATGGAAAGATGTGCAAGGGCCAGTTCTGCTATGGAAACAATATCTCATCCCTGGAGCGTTGTTGATGCAATCACATTTGCTGTGGGTTTATACAACACCATGCTTCTGCAGCACTGAACAACCTGCTCCTGCAAACAGCTCAGTGGCTGAATTTCTTAAGGAAGAATCTGAACTAATTTTAAACCACAGGCTTGCTTCCAGAGAGCAGTGATTTCATTTCAGGAACCAGAGCTGCACCAAGCTAAGCAACCAGCACCACGTGTGGGTTCCTGCTGGAGGTAACACTGATAGGTTACAGGGAGCTAGCTAAGAACTGGCAACGTTGTGAGGGATAAAACACAGATTGCCAAAACAGAATGGCTTAACTGTGGCTCCCTTCCCCAAACTCCTACCCTTATGCACCCCCCTCTATCCAACTATCCCTCCGAGTTTTCTCCAATAAGGATGCCAACACAGCACCTTCTGCCATTCACAAATTGGCCCTCAGGAGCCAAATGATGATTTCCCACTTCCCCAGGCAGGGAAGGAAGCTTTTCCCACAGCACCTGTCAGGCTGGAAGCAGCCAGGAGATGAGGGCTCAGGCTGTACTTCCAAGTCATCTCAGAACTGTGCACCATCACAACAGATGCTGACCCTCATTCCTTCTGCACAGAGAGAACAAAAGTCTTACTCACTGTTCGATCCTCCAAATACATGGTTTTCGATAAGAAGTCAATGCCAATTGTGGCCTGCAGGAAAAGAAAGAAAGAATCAAGAACATTGCAAATAAAACACCCCAACAACTGCAGTGACTGTCAGGATTAACATTACTGCCAAACTGCAGCAGATCTGCAAGAAAAACACGTTGGGTTTTCTTACTAGGACAAAGCCCCACAGGCAATTCAATGAGACGTTCCCTGGATAGAACCCATAACCAGCACAGCATCTTAAAGCTCAAGAAGTTGTTAACCTTCCTCTCAATTTACGCTCGCCAGCAACCCATGAAGTCATACAGGTATCAGCAAGGACTTCTGTGCACAGAGGGCCACGACCTACGTTAGCATCCATCAGCAGAATCAGGGATCTTCACTTTGAGCCCTTTTCCTTAAGGTTAAGGTGGACAGCTTCACTTCTGCTGCAGCACAACAGCGCACGCATGCACACAGCCCAGCAATCAGTGAGGTTCAGCTAATGCTAAAGCTCAGCTCAGCACAACTGCACCTGAACTGCTGGACAGTTGGGAGCTTTGTGCAGAATATCCTCACGTGTTTAAGGAAAGAGGAAAGCACTACTGAGTGCCATCCAGAACTGCTTCTTAAAGACCTTCACCCCATTTTTCAGGGCTGGATTGAGGGAGCGAATCCGAGCCCCATCAGTTTGGTTGCATTAGGGACACAGCCAAGGCAATCTGCTCAGGCTACAGGGCTGCCCAGCAGCACACCAAGCACCTCGAGCAGCTGCACCCTCAGCAGAGCCTTCATGATGACCGAAATAAATGGATTTAAAGGAGAAAGGCAAAGATAATAGGGCAAAGAGGCGTGCTGCTTCTTCCCTGCTTTCCCATGCTGGTACTTGTGCTGGAGAGCCTGTTCTACTGTAATGATCTACATCGTGAGACTTCCATTACACTCTCACTAATAATTAATGTATTGTATTCTGCCAGATAATTTAGGTGGTAAGAATAGAGAATAGAGCCAGCCAGCCAGCCTGCCTGAGAGTAATATATGAAAACCAGTTGCAAATTAAGAAAAAAACCAGATCTGAATTTCTATTTGCAGCTACACGTTACCCACAAGAAAGCAAGCTTACTTAGCTGGATCAGGAGAGCACTTTTAAGAACCAGAGATCCACACACAAATGATAAAAACTGGTGGGTCCCAACGTGGCCACCCAGTGATTTTCACCTGTCATCATGGACTGTGACATTGCCCACTGAGAGAAATGATACTGGCAGGTGGGTATGAGAATCCATCAGAGCCTGATGTGACAACATGCTCCCCTGCTGCCTTCATCTTCTATCATTTGGGTAAAGAGTAACTCTCTGAAGATTGCCACAAAGGCGCTTCTGCTTCCTCTTGTGTCTGTTTTGATTCACCTCTGCAGAATAAAAGCTACAGAAACCCTAAGATCTTACCCTAGGTATGCTCAGGATCCCATTCTGGATGACAAGCTCTCAGCTCCTCTGAGCTCTCAGAGCTGCACAGCCTGAGATCTGCTCAGCTCCTCCTGCAGGAGTCCTGCAGCCTCAGTCTCCTTGTGCTCACAACATGGGAGGTGCAGCACAAAGGCCAGGCACAAAACTTACTTTAGATCCTGGCAACGAAAATGTTCAAGAATCACACATTGTAACTTACAGCCAAGTGTGTCTGTCCACCTGTATTGTCCTGACCCCACCACAAGGATACAGAGAAGCAGCAGCAGATGGCGAGGGGGGGATTCAGGCACTCTGTATCCCAGACTTTAACTAAAATAAGTAAGCTAAAAACAGCCATTTTGTCACAGTTCTGACAAAAAGGAGGAGAAAAGCGCAGGGAATCTTCACAGATCAGCTGTACGGAACTCAATGCCATCCTGCCTGCTCTTCCTCCAAGAGGCTGAAGCTGAAGGGAAGCGTGGTCTGTAATCTTCCTCTTGCATAACACACAGAGTCTTCCTGTTTGCCAACGCTGCTCCTTCATTATGCATCACACTCAGTGCCACAGAACAAGGCAAACCTCTCCCAGCATAGAGGAATCACTGCTGGTGAAACAGACAGCACTGTTTTATTCCAGGTGTTTGGGTTTGACACAGCAGTGCAGGTTCTTGGTTTGCTCACAAATGCTGCTTTCATGCAAACTGCTTTTTAATAAGCAATGGGCAGCAGCTGAATTCCTCTTATCAAGCAGCAAGAAAAAAAAAAAAGAAGGAATGTTCAGCACAGATTCTCCCAAACCGCACCTTTCTATTTTTACCAGCTGAACACCACAAGCCCTGCTCAAATGATAGCTTGTGGCAGCTCTCAGAAAACATGCATTCAAAATTCATCTGAAATGTCCAGAAAGAGCAAATCATTCAGCAGCTGAGCTCCAGCTGCAGCTAACCACGTACACACTTTGACACACAGTGCCATGCACGTATTTGGCTTGGAGAGGCCTCCATCAAACCCTGGGAATCAAGGAAGGCATATTCTGCCTTGGCATTACATGTCATTTGATTTTGGCTGGTTCTTATGACTAATTCTCTCTTCCAGCTGTGTCAAAATAGGGCACGGTTCCCTGTATTTCAGGAGAATGGGGGTCTCTGGATGAATGAGACCACACCAAGTACATTAACACACACAACAAGCCCGCATCGCTGACAGCTAAACTGAAGCTACCTTCTAAACCCTTAAGATTCCTTCCTGGTTCAAGGCCCAATCATTCATTTTGTAATCATTTCCTATGTAATGTTAGACCAGCTTCCCATTGAGACTGCTGTGCTACCATAAAGCACAGAGGGCCAAACCTCCTCAAACAGAACTAGAACACAGGCGCTGCAGAGAGGAGCAGACCTGAAAGAAAAACACTGTGGGGGAAAAGAAAAAAAAAGCAGATTAAATAAAAGGATGGCATTCACATGTCCATGTAATTACAGCAGGGAGGATTTGAAAGGATGTTTGCTCCCGTGGGAGCAATGATGTGTATTCCAGCCCTCCTACACCACAGAAGCTTTGCTTCTCCTATCATTAAGTGAGAACTCGCATCTCATTGTGACCAACTCACAGAGCAGCAATGTGGAATCACTGATGAGGCAGGAAGGGAATCATTAACAGGGAAAGAGATTTAATCAAGAGATACTTGGATAGACATTAAGTAACAGAAAAATCACAGCTTTTTTTGTATTTTTTTCCCCATTACCTTCTCCTCCCACCTCCCTAAACAACCCTTCACATTTGTCAGGGAACAGATTTTCTCAGCTCAGCGAATGCAGAACATCACCAAGCACAACCAAGTTGTGAAGCACGCTGTGGCTTAGAGAAGACCCACTTTAGTTTATGAAACTGAATTGCTTTTGTAGCTTGCCACCTTTTCAGGCTCATCCTACAGTGTGGGAGTGGATAACAATGACTGTTCCCCTGGCATTTAGAAAGCCTGCACAGCATCCTAAAGCACTCAGAGCCTACAGCTCGGCTTTCTGCCTCTTCTTTTTTAAGGAACAGCGTGCCTACTCCGTTCTCTGTGAGATCTGCAATGGTCTGGTAGCAAATGGTGAAAAACCTGGCAGACTTACAGCTGCTGTCACTTACGTGTACCTAAGAGGTCCATCCCTTGTAACTACAGCTCACCCTGCTGCGAGCTGCAGATAAGCCATTCCAGCAGACATACCCTGAAATGCCATTCTGAAAGGTTATTAAAATATAAAGCTTCAGGATGTAACAGCTAAGAATGTGGTCTGTGTACTATTCTCCACTGCAGCCCAATGGATTCTGCCTGCAATGATGAGGCCTTAGAGAAGACAACAAGAGGGATTCATTTACCTGGTAGGTGTTGTCAAAGCTGTCATACATGAACCTGGTGATCAAGGAAGTCTTCCCCACTACAAGGAGACAGAAATAAAACAACACAGATTAGAGGAATGATGCCAATGCAAGTTTTAAGCAAGTTCAGTATGAGAAGACAAGATTGAAGAGCATTACTGCTGAGATGTCTACCACGTGCCCACAGTGCCTGCAAGCAAGCTTCACCCTTAGACAGTGCACTCACTGCACTGCATAGGCAGGCTCATAAACTGTTCCAATGCTACTAATGCTGCTGGTTGCAGCTCAGGACCAGTGGATCCAGCTGGCTGTGCAGCAGCAGGAAGGCATTGCAGCATCTGCAGATGCACCTGGGAGCCAAACACTCAGGCACAGAGTGTTCCATAGGTCCTGCTGCAGCATTGCAACTCCTCTATCTGCAGCTTCGCTTCAACAGGTCAAACCTCACGTGTGGCAAATTGCATCCAGGTTCTCATTTCACAAGCAGAAACTAGACAAGCTGTGTGTATAGCACCTATAAAGCTGTGGATATGGTACTGCCAAGCTCCAGCCAGGTATCAGACTGCCTTGAAGCTCCTGTCAATTGCTTTTTAAGGAAAAGGAGATTACATTTCAAAACAATCATCGTCACAGTGGTTACCTACTCCACTTTGTGGGATCAACACAGCTGAGCTTAGACAGAGCCCAACTCACACCCAGTGCAGAACTCCTTTCTGCTCAGTGCCACCTTCGCCTGAGCAGACCTGTAGGAACTGAACACCTGAAGCTGCCTTGGCTTAGTGTCCAAATACCTTTCACTGGAGGTAGATCCCTTAGGAAACAGCTGGATTTACTCAACAATCAATTGCCTCCAGCTGTTTTCTCCCAATTCCCTTGCAGCTGTGATTTGCCATCTCCCAGCACAGGTAAGGAGCACTGCAACACTGCAGAAGAGTTAAACGAACTGGAACCCAGCAGAGAACTTTTGGGAAAAGACTCCAAAGTCACAATTTGAATTCTTAGGTGAATTCTTCACACATTTCCCTCCGTGGGCATCATGAGGCTTCCCACAAAGCTAAAAACTGTCTTTGTAGAGATAGAGCAAACATGCCTTGGACCGGTAATTCTTCCAAAGCAATGCATCTAGGATGAGAGGAATCTTGAATTCACCACTCAGCTCTGCCCTGGGGCGTCCAACAGAAGCACAATCTGCTGCAGGACCAGCAGGCTGATGAGAAAAGCCAATGGGTTGGGCTGCAGCACATCAGGGGGAAGGAAGGGGGAAGGAAGGGGGAAGGAAGGGGGAAGGAAGG